ATAAACGATCTCGTTCTTACGATCACTGATTGTCGACAGTCAATGGTCAATGTCCGCCCGGGCTGAACTTTTGTGATGGGTCCGCCACTGCTTCGAGAGTCCTATATTGTTCAATTCGACGCCATCACAAATAGGATTACTAACAATAGCATGGTTGGTTTCCTGGTTCATCTTTTTATTTGTGATAACAAATTGTACTTTGGTCCCGACACATTGTTCCATTGCCAAGTTGATCACGAACACTATAAAAATGGAGTTAATCATATTTTAACATTTCTTTTAGTTGAAAAATTAATATTAAATTGCATAATCACAGTTCTAAATAATTGTCCCACCTCTCTTAAAATTTTTAAAGGGAATTTACAAAAATGGTCAATTTCATGCTTGACAATTGAAAAATGTCTAATTTTGATAATTCATGCAAAAGTGGCTAAATTTGGTACCCAATTGTCTATTATATTCTCAATGAAAAATGAAACTTTTTTTTTTTTTCAATTTGTAACAAATTTCGATAAGAACAAGTAGTTTTCATGAGAATTACATTAATGCTAGTTAATACCTAATGAATTCATTTGCTTTTATTATCTAATTAGGTATTGATCAAGAATTTTGAGAAAAAATGAAGAAGATGAAGTAGAAAAGTCATTAATACTAAAAAAAGAATGAGATGTACCCAGCAAGGATAATGAAGTGGCAGAATCAATGGATTTGACTTGAACAGAGTTCTCTTTCAACGTGGAATATGGTTTTTCAGTGGGGGGTGAAAATGATTTTATTTGGTCATGGTTTCAAGAGTTTTGAACGAAACCATGAACCAATAATTTTTTTTAATAGTGGAATCAAATGATTTTTTTAAAGATATGAAATCAAATCGAAACTGAACTATTTGGTTCTGATTTGATTTGATTTGGTTTGGTTCTAGTTTCATTATTGATCGAAAAAAAAAAAAAGAAAAATAACATTTGAGGAAGAAGAATCCAAGGTTGTGGCTTCAATTTCAAAAATCCACGCGACGATGGTAGCTGAGCGGGGTGGTAGACGGTAAGTGGTGGTTGTCGATCTCCATTTGAGAGTCGGTGTATAAATTAAAAATGAGAGAAAATGAGAAAATAATTAAGGTCTGGGTCTCCAAATGAATTGGGGTCTCCAGTCTCCACATTGAAAAATGAGAAATTGAAAGTACATTACCTTTTGTCTTGATTTTCAATTGAATTTTGAATTATTTAGTGTGAATTGTGATTCACTAAATTATAAATATATATAAAATAATAAAATTTAAATATTNTCTCCCGAATGAGTACATTATCTTTTTGTCTTGATTTTCTTTTGGATTTTGAATTTTTTTTGGTGTAAATTATGATTATCTAATTTGGAATACATATTCATATATATAAAATAATAAAATTTAAATATTTAGTTTTGTTCTTAATTAGCTTAGCGCACGGTAGACGGCAGGTGGTGGTAGTTGTTGATCTCCATTTCAGAGTCGGTGTATAAATTAAAAATGAGAAAAAGTGAGAAATAAATTAAGGTTTGTGTCTACAAAATAAATTAGGGTTTCCAATCTTCACATTGAAAAATGAAAAGTCGAATGTACATGACCTTTTTGTCCTAATTTTCAATTGAATTTTTTGAATTTTTTTTTTTTTTTTTGTGTGATCACTCATTTGTTAATATATATAATAATAATAAAATTTAAATATTGAGTTTGGTTCTTGGTTCTAGAACTAGAACCGAACCAAAATCAGAACCAAACGGTTCTCAATTCTAAGAATCATAACAATTAATTTTTTTCGTAGAAACAATTCGAATTGCTCGATTTGATTTGATTCTAATTTGATTGTTCATTTTGTCCACCCTATTTTTAGGCAAAAATGCATGCCATTGGATGCTCTGTCTACTGAGCATTGAGTTGAAGCAAATCGAATGATGACCCCATCTTTACAGCCTTCACTTGTCTCTACAGTTGAAAATCCAACACTTCTCTGCACAATCACCC